ACTGGTTATATTGGGACACAGAGGCCGAGTGCATTGGTTATACTGGGACACAGAGGCCGAGTGGTCTAGTTATATTATTCATTGACAATGAACGAGTAGAGAAGTTGAACCTGGAGCAGATTGTGGAGGACCTGCCGTTCAGACAGGTGAGTACAACTACACACTGCTGAACTCTCCAGATGAGACGTTTAAATGGCAGTTCTTTCAAGGAAACGTATGAATTCAACACAACAAACTGAAATCTGAGTCTTTTCTGAATTATGCATCTGCAAAATGAAGCATTGCCACTTCACTTCCCAACATGAGGCCTAAATGGTGTCTTTAATTTCAAGGTACAAATATCTTCTGGACATATACAGAATCTTTTCATTATTTTGTTGAACTAAAAGGAGTCAGATAGTTTTAAAATATCTGCCAAACTAACGTGCAAACACATGACAAAAACAATATATTACTATCTTTATTAGATCGCAAAATGTAAGTCATGAATAGGATACTATGTTTGCATGTCTCTTGTGTGACAGTGTGTTCTAGTACATAGCTTTTTCATAGACGTAATTCTCATTATAGGAAAAAGAAAATCACACTTTAAAACAGACTTCCTGGAGTTTTTCAATGACAGAAGAGTAGAGGATTCACAGTGGAGTGTGTGTGTCATTAAGCTTCTTAAATGTTTATAATAAACAGCGTAACAATGAACTGAGGCCTCCAGCAGCAGCGTGGAGCAAAGCTACATTTATCGGATAGAAATATTTAAAACCCACTCCTCATCGTGATCTTTGAATTCAGTGATGCGATCATTTACACAGTATGGAAGATCAGTGAAAGGACACAACAAATATGACAATGGTGATTTGGTTTTCCTCACAAAAATATCAAGACTTGACATTCATAAATCATATACAGACGTGAGCTGGTGAGCTCTACAACCTGCAGCACCAACGCCTCATCATTCAGGTACGAACACGAATCATTTCAATTGCTTTTAAAACAAGTTGTGATGTCAGAGGTATAACACCAAAAGTTCATAATGTATGTATCTGCAGAACACACTGAAACATACAACATACACTTCACAGCACAAGTTTAGCATGTGACCACAAAAACAAGGCACAATGTTAAAATGTAATTAAAAGTTTGACTTCCCCTTCAGGTCTGACCCTGACTCCGCCCACTTCATCATTTTGAAAAGAAAATGCAACAAAAGTATGCAAGAGCTGTGAGGGGCTGAGGGGGAAATAACTCATATTCCAACAATGAAGCTAAAAGGTAACCACTGCCTGTATATAGACTGTGGCTCAGTGGAGAGCAGGGCCGTCCTTCAATCAGCAGTTCGATCCCCCGCTCCTTGAGCAAGACACTAAACCCCCAAATTTGTCCCGTAGCTGTGCCTACTTGTATGAATGAACGTGATAGAATCTGAATTGTAAGTCGCTTTGGACACAAGCGTCTGCTAAATGACTGTAATGTATACCTCAAAAGTCTTAATTCAATTTTAGAAGATCCTCCGTCAAACGTTGGTCACTGAGAGTGCTATTGCATAGCCAGTAGTCTTCACTCGTCACTTAAAGATAAAGAGGTTATCTCTATGATAAACAATGCAGACGCATTGTTTATCATAACAGTAGCATTTCAGCAGGGATATGATTATCTAAGAAGATATTTGAAAAGTAACAAAAAAAGGGTGCAACGGTCCTGAACGACACTTTGGTTCGGAGGCACTCAAAGTGATCAATGTGCAAGGAGGACACGATGCTGCCAAACGATATCCTCCAGGTACTTCATCATGCTGTGTTAGAAAAGTGCACGACAGTCTCCAGTGATCAGACAGACATTAAGTTCAGACATTAAGTTTAACACAGCTGCTTCAGTCCTCGCTGGAGTCCTCCGAGATGTCCACATCTTCCCATGAAGCCTTTGTGCGCTGCTCCCAGCTCCTGGCCTGGGCGATCACAGCAGGGGACATGAGCACCACGCAGGCTGCCAGGCCAGAGACACGCTCCTTAAACTCCGTCTCACTCTCCCACTCGTCTGCGTCGGTGTTGTACACGTGAATGTATTTCATCCTGTTGCCTTTGTCATGAGAGCGTCCTCCCAGGACGTAGATGCGACTGTCCAGCACAGCAATGCCGGGTTCTCCATGTCCAAGAGGGAGGGGGGTCAGTAAGGACCAAGAGTTGGCTTCAGGGTTAAAGCATGACACCTGAGGAAAGAAAAACAGGAAACAACTTACTCTCAGTTTAAGTGCTGTCCAAACAATATTAACCTGTCAGAAGGCTCACACCTGTCTTCAGGTTGGACTCAATAGACTATAGAATATTTATTCATTTAAATTTGTAAGACAGAGAGGAGTGAGAGACGGGGCGCTCTGAGACAACAACTTTGTGCTTACATTTTGCATACAAGAACATCTCAATGTGTAAAAATGTAAATTAAAATGTTAAACTGAATGACGGACTTTGAGACTATTGTTTACTCGTGTAAACACCGTCTTCATTGTGCAACAATAAACACTGGTAACTCGTAGTATTGTACCTTCAGGACGTCACGCCGATACCCACGCTCATCATTGCTTCCTCCAATAACATAAATGCGTCCGTTAACGCCAGTCATGCCGTGCCACGCTCGCTCCACCGGCCCCTCAGCACAAGCTGTCCAATGATTGGCCGCAGGGTCAAAACAGTAGGTCTCTCGGAGGTACGCCATTCCTCTTCGTCCGCATGTTATATACATTTTCCCATCCAACTCTGCTCCAGCGTGGGCGTAAACCTGGAAGGAAAGTTAGACCAGCATTAAAGGAAGTTCTAGGGAAGGTGAACACCTGGTATATAACAGTAAAGCATCAGTATCACTACCTAGGTGGGTATGTAGTGCCATCATGTGGATGGTAGCGGTATTACATGCATTGCTTTCATCTTTTAACTATTCTCATACCTCTCTCTTCAGGGGTGATACAAATTCCCACTTGTTGGTGTTTGGGTCGTAGCGCTCCACTGACTCCAGTTCATTGCTGTAGTCCCGTCCACCAATGGCATAAATATGGCCGCCCATCACACAAACACAGTGGTCAGCATGCTGCTGCTGCAGGGGCTGGATGGAGCACCAGCTGTTGTGACGAGGGTCGTATCTGGGGGGGGGGGACACAAGTATCAAAACAGTGATGGGTGAGTGCTCACAGTACAGATCAAATCGAATTCACCATAAACAAACAAGAGTATGTTTTTGCATCACCAAAACAACAGTACATTTAGTGGATCTGAGAAACTGAGTTATTTTTATTTTGCTAATCGATTAAATAATTTATCAAGCTAGAATGCCTCACATTCACTGGTTACAGTTTATTAAATCTTCTTTTCTCTCTTTTATATCTGTGTAAACTGACTTTCTTTGGATTTTGAACAGCTAATCAAAGCAAGCAACCTGAGAACATTTTAAACTAGATGGGGATCTCACCTCCAGCAGCGCGTCTCTGCACGAAACCCACTGGTGTTCTTGTCTCCTCCAATTAGATAAACAAAGTTGTTGAGCACAGCAATGCCCTGGTTGGACATGCGGGGGGTGTTAGCTGCAGCGAGGGTCCTCCACTCCCCCCAGCTCGGGTGGAACACCTGAAACAAATGCTTGTTGTCTGTCAGGGAGGAGGTAAACATCCCCCCAAAGCCCAATATGCAGTGGAAGGTGGACCGTGGCTGGGTGAGAGGACTTTGCAGGACGGGCTGCCAGATCTCCTGCTCGTGGTACCGCAGGGCGGCTGAAACCGAGTCCTTCAGTGGACACTGGTGCAGTCTGACATACAGCCTCTGCAACACTTGTTTCTCAATCAGGCAGAAACGGACGGCATCAAGCATCTTGAGATTGTCCTTTGAGTCAAAAAGATTTAAAAAAATGAGTTGATTGCAATTCAGGGGTGATAAAGCTTTGCTAAAGAGTAAAACTAAAGTAAAACTAAGCAGGCATTTATATATATATATATATATATATATATATACACCTGCTATATAGTGTGTATCTGATGGAGATGAAGAGATGAGTACAAAATTTAGACACACCTTGGGACTGACCTGCAAGTACACCTGGTCAGTTTCCACCTGCTCAGGACTGTAGTGGTAGTGAAGAGCCGCCTCGTACACCTCGTTCTCACTGTTCACCTGAAGCTCTTCGCTGCTCAGCGCGCTGAAGACTTCGTCCTGGGGGAGTTGTCGGTACACATCAGTGCGAGACAAAGTCTGGATGTTCTCGAGGATGTAAGAGTGGATCCTGGCATTGAGTTGCTGCAGTCCGTAAAGATCAGCTAGATGATGGACCTCTAAAATGTTGCTCTCGTCCAGCCAGGAGAAAAGGAAATCGCAGCAAAAGCTGATGACGATCTCAAGCTTTTAAAAACACAAAAGGACACAGATCAGCTGAAGAAAACACAACAATGAAAAAATGTGATCTAGCAACTGAACAAACGAGTTTACCTGTACTAGCGTGGCAGCGGTCAGGACTTCCTGCACACACTCCAGGTCTAACTCAATCTCTGACGTGTAAATGTAGTCAACTATTTTCTTCATGGCCATGTGAGACACTCCATGAATCGGGATCTCCTTCTGCTGTGTCTCGCGAAGGCCTCCAGCAAACATCCCCCTAATGGAGTACAGTGACATGTTGTTAAATGGCTTATGGTTGGGTAACCTGTTGGCCCAGTGAAGATGACATGCATACCACATGGCATACCATTCATTTCTGCCATTTACTTTTGCTGCATGATATCCACTGATCTTTCTCTTACACGTCATTTTCACAAGACAGATTACAAAAGAAAAGGCATATGTTAAGCCAAGAAATTACCTGGAAAATTATTTCTGTACCCATCACAAAACTTTCATATGCTTTCAACTAAATATTGTTGAATATACTGAGCCTCAGTTGTAATTCCCTTTAACAGCTGGTACAAAAGCACACCAATAAAAGCATGTCTGCAAAGAGATGATATCTGCATGGGTGGAAACACAAGTGAGGGTTGCATCTTCTTGCTGACACAAGGACACAAATAAAGACACTAATGGAAAATCAACCAGCTGTGAGCTTTACCTAAAATAATCACAAGAGGCTGCCAGAAGTATACGGTGGGCTTGGATGGGTTGACCCTCCACCAGCAGCACCACATCGAACAGGATGCCACTCTGTCTGAGGTCCAGCAGGCCGTCCAGCAGGCTGCGGAAGTGGGCTGAACTGTTGTAGGTCTGTCGGCTCGGGCGGCCCGATGAGCCTGCGCGTCCTCCCATTGGACTCAGCTTTCCTTTCTCAGCCATGCCAGAGTACTGCTGCTCAGGCTTCATTATCTGTCCAGTGCTAACGCCATTCTAAGTGTTCCTCCACATTGCTGAATTTAAGCCACAACTGCTGTCGGCATGTAAAGAAACGAAAGGGCTTAAGACGGGTGGTTGACGTTACGGTTGCTTGAGATGTCACTGCTTGTCAGTTCCTGATCTATTAACACGTTATACACGGGTTTTACGACATAGCTTAATCTACGGAGCACATAAAAAGACGTGGAAGTACAATAGCTACATGCATACGCCCTTCCGTCGACCTATACTGCTAGCTGCCACTACGCTGTCGGCTAATGTTAAGTTTGTTTACACGGTGCAGAACATGCTAGTCAGCTATCAGCGGGTTAGCCTGCTAGCTCAGGTAACGCACTATAAAACAACAAGATAAGACACTTAAATGGAACAAAACGACGGCACGAAGATACCTTCGTGTTCGTCCAAAACCAACCGATTTACATGGACAGTTTGGTCACAGTGACACTAACTACTGCGTTGTGGTATGACTAGCACTGTCGTCTGATTTCTTGACAGATCAAAACAAGTCTGTTTACTTTTCGGCGTCAGACGGTGAGCTCACAGGTCGTTGCTGTTGTTTTTGTCCCGCCCACTTTCAAAGAAAGAGCCAATCACAGACGTCTGTCACACTGCAGGCAATAATATGACACTTTCAATTAGTCTTTTAACATGATAACGTGTTATAAAGTGTGTAGAATTATCCATTATATTTATTTCATCTCTGTTTTAGTGTCTGATTGTTCATATTGATGGAATAAGAATTTAGTCAAACAAATGTCGAGAGTCTGTGACTTTTTCTGTACACAAGAGGATGCTGTTTCCTGCTCTAATGTATCGAAGGCCATTTCTAACCGGTTCTGCTGTCACACTGCATGTCATACAAATACACCAGCACCAGAGCTCGAAATTACTACCAATTACATTTACTCTTTACGGTCAAAATACAGTTCTAAAGTACTGGATCGTAGTAGGCTATTTTCATTTCCCTATAACTTTACACCTCGTACCTTTTCTGGGGTAAATTATTTATAGAATTTAATTTAAATAATTTAGCATTTTTTATTGACTTCAATTACTTGTCATTACACAGCCTGTTCAACAACACAACGGCTGAAGGCTAAGGACCACCTGAACCAGATACATAACGCTTACATATCGTTGCATACATAATTAAACATCCTGAAGGGGCCTTTCTTTGTGATTTGTACTTTTATTTCAGATACTTAAATCTATATGATAGAGAATACTTATGTACGTTTTCTTTACTTTACTTTTTTTTACTTTTATGGAGTTCAATATGGAATTGCTTTCTTCCTCCATTTGCTGGCACAGCTCACCATTTGAAATACAAAATGGCAGTGTAAACACTTCTATCACAAGTTTATTTAAACAAGAAATATACAATATATCTTTGTCTTTAAATAATACATTTGTGTGACACAAAAAATCAGATAAGGAAGAACTTTTAAACTGTGCCAAGACTAAAATAATTATTTATTATTCTTGCCAACTTTTTGTCAATTTTATTATTTTCGCCCCTCCAATATTTGGTCTCTAAACGCTTTCTAGATGGATTTTCCACTGTTTGATAACTGCATGAGCTGCCAGATAGATTTTCTTAGGCAGCCAGTCATGATGCTCTTTTATAAAAATTGAGGCTTCCATATTAGGTTTTACAATCTCATTCATCTTCTGCCGAGGTTTCAATTTGCATATATCATTTCCTGACACGAAGAGAAGAGAGTTTTCCACTCGCAATAACACTGTTGGAATAATCCATCACTTGATTTATTTTCCAGTCTAATATACATTGCAGTAGAGTGCACAGGGGAAAGCTCCCTGTTTTTTCGTCGAGGGTGCAAAAATGCCCATTTCAAATAGCAAAGCATAACTTTTTTCCCTGACACATCTGTCATGTGGCTGAAGAAATGCCCTATCATAGTTCCTACCAGTAATGGACTCTGGTGCAGCTCCCTGAACGGTAAACTCTCCCACCACTGATGCACTGCATACCTACTCCACCAAAGTTAGTTTCTTGATTAGTCAACCGGCAGATCAATGATCAATTAATTGTTGAATTAATTATTTTTTAAATCGAAAACTCCAGATATTTCCTGTTCCCATTTCCTTTTCTCATGCCATAGTAAACAGAATATATTTTGCTTTCAGGAAGTTGGTTAGATAAAACGAGCAATTTGATTATTTGAAAACAAGGTGAAATACGATTTTACTATTTTCTGACGTTTTATAAAACAAAATTATTTGATTAGTTGTAGCCTCACAACCTTTTTTGCAAATGATTCACATTAGCAACAGAATACAAATATATCAGTCATCAGTCACAGACAATAAAGCTAATGTTGAGAGTGAAGCCACATTTTCATTTGTCCATTGTTTGATTTTTGAATTTGCCAATGGAGCCCAGGTTTACTAATCTTGATTACTGACTATTATTGTGAAGTTTTCAAATGATTATATTATGTGCTTTTATTTTCTAACATTTGGTGTCAACCCTTCTTAGCAGTTGATATCACACACAGATGCACGCTTCACTTTTCAATAGCCCAACATGGATTAGGAATCATTTTCACTTGTTAATTACGGTGACATAATCACTGACAAAGAATAAAAGCATGGTTTTAGTTTTTGTTGGACCTTCTTGGAGGTCAAAGAGAGCCTTGTTTTGTCCATATTGAGAAGAGCATTCCAGTACATTAGTGGATCGTCTCCTCTCATCAGGGAAAAAGGTTTTGCAGCATGCGCTCTGCAGGCTGGAGGAAGAAATGATAAAGAAATGAAAACAAAGTGGGCGGTATTTACAGAATTAACTGTCAATCTATACTACGAACAGATTGGCTAAAGCAGTTATCAAGACTTGAAATAGTCCATGACATTGAGCTGCTATGAGCATCCCCGTTACACAAATCCTGCACTGTCCTGACATTTAACCGGCATTAAAGTATTTACTGAAGGAGACCATCCTTCTGTGCCTTTTTTGCCATCCTATGGTGAGGAGAGTTAGTGAGTAGCATTATCGGCTCTAACAAGGAATCATCCAGTGCAGCAGGTTGCTGTAAAAAAGCAAACATGCCATGCTCTGCAGCATGTCTCCCTTATGCTGCATATGACAAGAGAAGAAAGACCAGAGGACAATACAACTAATTAATTTGGGACAGTACAGTTCCTGTGGTGCCATTCATTCTGCCTGCATCCCGTCTAAGATTGCCAACTACCTTCCATCTTTAGTGTGGCACAGGAAATTTTGCAGGCAAAGTATGCCACAAAATACAAACAAACTGCACCATTATTGTTGCACACTTGACTTGAATCCAGACTGCTTTGCATGTAAGAGCTGAAATCTTAAGCCTTTCTATATTTAATAGTTTCTTCAATTAGTTTGTAAGTTCTACTGTAGAGTTAATAGTAACTAAGAGTGCCCGTCAAAATAAAACATGTGACAGTAGTCCCCGCTCTGTGGTTCATACGTTGAATGGAGGGTTGTAAAGTGACTGAGGTGCAGGCCTGGCAGGTGCAATTTCGTTGGGGCTGCTCTGTGATTGTGAGGCAAGCAATCAATTTTCCTCTGCACCAAAATTCTGTAACGCAACAACTTCCATCACTGCTGTTTGATGAAGCCTGCCAACCGTCTGAGTATGGCAGCCACTGGGTGATCCATACATTCTCCTGAAATGATGAACAGTGGGGGGTCATTTACACTGCCACAGGATTTGGACAGAGCTACATCAGTAAATTCTGTTGTAAAGATTAATCATTTTGTGACAAATTGCAAAGGCACAGTGGGATTGTTTGAAAAAAAAAAAGCAATTTTTTTGTCTGTATTCAATAAAGAATCTGGATGATGTAACTTATAAAAATGTTGACATTTAATTTCCTTCCTTGGGTTTGTTTCTGTCTGAGGTCAGAGAGTCATTGGTCTTGTAAGAGGCTGGGAGATTATTTCCCTGCCTCACCGGGGGCTTAGAGAAAACAAACCAATGTTACTGAAATATTTAAGCAACCTAACAGTATGGGCTGCTCTACAGGATGCAAGGATGTCAGTTCGTAGTAATATAAAGAAGAAAACATGGAGTAAAATAAAAAGCGGTTTTGTCCAGTTGTTCCATGTGCTCGGACAACAACTCCATGGCTTCTTGTAGAGAAAGACAGAGGCTGGACCCTCGCTTCTTCGCGTGGACCACACGTGGCAGGAAACCATTCCCAGTGAGAGTATTATACAAGACTGCAAGCAGAGACTTGCTCGGCTGGACTGCTTTGACAGCTGCTCTAAAGGAGCGATGGAAAATGTCTCTGCTTTTACCCTGACATGAAACAATTACTTTACTATTATTATTATTATGGTCATCGAAGCATGATCAGTGTGCACTTTCTGCGAAATCTCATAAGCGCTTTAGAAACATAGCTATACAGTAACCCTGGTAACTATCATCTTCTCCAACACTTGCAACGAGGCCAAAAAGGATGGGACTTTTTTAATTGGGATAAAGCTGAACTGTGGCCAATAACCTGAGTGGGTAGTTGGTCATATGTACCATGTGTCAGTGGAATGGATCTGGACTTGAATTGAACAAGGCTTCTGTGGATCGATAGCAATCTGCTTTATAACTCTATCCCGTTATGCTGCCTCTGAAGGCCATTCTTACCTCTTGCTATTGAGGGCTATTTTGGGGTGTGACTTCCACCGTCCTATTCGCTGTGACAACGTTAGTGTAAATCCTGAATCATATGCCGTCACAGAGGAACAGTGGCAAAGCGAGGCGGAAAAAGGAGTTGTCTGTGCTGCAAAACTCAAGTGACTGGAGCTGAGTAGAATACTTATGTGGCTTTAGAAAACAGGGCGGCCATGCAGAACATTTATATGAATTAAAGGAGGAGGGTCAGCAGGTCTAATCCTCACAGGATTGATTTTTACCTTTCGGTTCGCTAAAGCAGTTGTGTTTTAATGAACCCCAATCTCAGGCTCCTCTCCAGTTCTCTATCTCCCTCGATTGCTCTTTTCTCCTTTTCCCAAATCAATTTATTCCACCATACCAAATGTGTTTTTTGAAGAAGCACATACCAAAAATTAAAATCAGTTTTATTTAGCTTTGCTTCATTTCATACTTTTCCTTACTTTATGGTGTGAAATTAGAACACTACATATTACATTTTGGTAGTGACTTGAAAACATATTAATGTGGATAAATTTGGTGTCAGAACTGTGTTTATAGTACTAATACAGTTTGGGAAATACACTCATTGGCTTTCTTGCAGAGATATAGATGAAAAGATTTATACCACTTTCATGCCTGTAAGGTAATATGAAGCTAGCAGCTATCTTAGTATTAAGACAGGGGGGAAAACAACTGGTTCTGGACAAAAGTAACAAAATCCACCTACCAAGCACATCTAAATCTGTTTTGGTCTGAGTTGCCTGGAGATATCGGCTGCCTTCTCTTCAATATAATAGGACCATATGGCCTGTGGTGCACAAAGCGCAAAAAATACATTTGAAAAACTCAACAGCAATGTCTCTTTCC